GCCAGATTTTGTTTCGCAAAGCTCTCTCGAGAACATGGAATGGGAAATCGTGTTGGCTCGCTCGTCCCTTGTGGATGTCCGTTAAAAAGAAATAACTGACTTTGAGAGAACGGGCAACACTCAAGCCGACATGTTAGCGAGAGCTGGCGCTTCTCTCAGCCGTCACGACTCATCTGACACGTTGCTTGCAAAGGGCATGCTGTTTCTGCCCCGCCAGCTCAGCAAGCTTATCACACGTGCCGAGGTACTTTACACCCCTGCACTCAGAAAGAAAGGCTGTTATGACAACATCGGTGCTCAGGGGCTCACGCTGGTTTCCCTGGAGGGGGACCCTGAATGGGGGAGGGCCATGGGGGAGGCGAGGGCGGACGGGGAAGTGGCTGCTGCCGTTGCTGATGCTGCTGCTCCCGCTCCGCTCCCACCCAAGAGCCCCTCCCAGGCCCCTCCCGAGCCCCTGGAGCCCGAGTTGGTCCTTCGTGTGGCTGACCCCTCTCAGGCCCCGTGGGCCCAATGGGGTATGGGGTCAGGCCCCGCTTTTGTGTTGTTCCTCCTGCGGCGCGTGTGCGACCATGTCCCCCAGGGCCCGAGGACGCCCCACCGAAGGTCCCAATGCTACCGTCCGCATGCGTTCCCCCCCCCGTATACAGCGTTTCGTGGCCCCCTCCTCCCTCCTCCCTGCGTTTCACCCACCCAGTACAACAATTCGTGGCCCCATAGGGCGCTCCACCGAAGGCCCCAGTGGGACCGTCCGTATGCGTCCAGCAACACCCAGTTTAGCATTTCCACCCACCCAGTACAACGTTTCGTGGCCCCATAGGGAGCTCCACCGAAGGCCCCAGTACCACCGTCCGCATGCGTCCAGAAAGCCCAATGTGGCATTTTCAACCACCCAGTACAGCGCTTCGTGGCCCCATAGGGAGCTCCACCGAAGGCCTCAGTGGGACCGTCCGCAAGCGTCCAGAAAGCCCAATGTGGCATTTTCACCCACCCAGTACAGCGCTTCGTGGCGCCATAGGGAGCTCCACCGAAGGCCCCAGTGGGACCGTCCGCATGCGTCCCGGAAACCCAATGTGGCATTTTCGCCCACCCAGCACAACGTTTCGTGGCCCCATAGGGAGCTCCACCGAAGCCCCCAGTGGGACCGTCCGCATGCGTCCTGGAAGCCCAATTTGCACACCACCCACACATCACAGCGTTCCCCCCACCCAGTACAGCGCTTCGTGGCCCCATGGGGAGCTTCACCGAAGAAGATATTCACAATTGCGGTACCCACAACTGCATATGACTGGGTCCATCGCCAGGATAACTTTCCGACGGGGGTCCCGTCGCAGGCCCTGCGGGTGGCCCGTCAATGCTGCCCGCGGTGACAAAAAGGTCCTCTCCGCTGGATCCCCCCAAGGTTTTTTCACAACCTCTTTCTCTCTCTCTCTCTCTTTCTCTGCCCCTCAGTGCCATGCAATCCACGAGGACTCCCGCAGTGTGCTCGTGGTCCTCACACATCGCCACTTCTGCATCAAAGCGACCACACCCCAAAAGCGCGGAGCGGCGGCCTGCCCACTCAGGGGCTTCAGCTGAAGAAGTACCCCATCCGCGCCCCGCTTCCCTCCACCCCGCATCCTTTTCCTCCTCTCCTCTTCTTCGGCGGTGCGCGCCACAAGGGTAGGGTTGTGGATGCCACGACAATGGACACCCTAACAGTCCTATCATTGACGTTAAAACGTGTTTAAAACGTCGGAGCATGTTCTAAACATGTTTAAAACATGTTTTGTTACATGTTTGAAACATGTTTAACACATGTTCTGGACATCTGGAAATTATTTGGCAGCACGCCTCCTCTCCATTGATCGTCCTCCACAAGGGTAGGGTGAGGGGGGGCGGCCTTCTCATAACGCAGGGGGCCTCTCATGATCAGGACGGATCAAGACCCAAACGCCCCGCGACTTCAAAGAATCGGGCGGGCGATCTTACATGGCCGCTCTCGCGCCTTGGCTACACTCAAGAGTGGCCCTCGGCAAGAGTGGCCTTTGGTGCGCAGCTTTTGGGGGGCCGCGGGGACGCCAAACCCAAGCACACAAGCAAGTGCTGGGGGCCCCCTGTGGGCACGCACCAAGAAGGGTCACTCGGCAAAGGGTCACTCTTACGGGTAACCGATCGCCCCGCCCCCCACACAAAATCCGCTCAAAACCGGCCCTCGAACCCGAACCCCTCCCAGGTTCATCCTGGACAATTTTTCGAGCTGCCCCCGAACGTGCTCGCGAGGGCGCCACCGGAAGCCCAAAATGAGCCAGGAATTGACAACATGATCGACCCACGAACCCGGAAAGGAATGTAGAAATGTAAGGCATGGCAACGCTTCAAAAACACCTAATTGGGCGACGGGCAAATGCAATGCTGAGTGTACGATCTTGATGTACCGTGCCGAGGGCTGTGCTGTGCTGCGCCGTGCTGAATTACGATGTGCCATGCCGAGATTGTGCTCTATAGCGTTGTGGATCGAGTCCTCCTTTGCATCCGAGTCCTGACCGAACTGATCTGGATCTGAAGCTCGAGCTGCCTGGGCACATAGTAGCTGCCCCAGAGCTAATTGACAAGGGGACATGCCAGGAGGACGCGCCGCGGAACGTCCCAAGGGACGCGCCAAGCGACGTGCCAGGGGACGTGCCATGGGGACGCACCGCGGGACGTGCCAAAGGGACGCGCTACGGAACGCGCCAATGGACGTGACACGGGACGTGCCAGGGGAAGCACCGCGCGATGTGCCAGGGGGACTCGCCACGGGACGCGCCACGGAACGTGCCAGGGAACATGCCGTTGCAATGCTGAGTGTAACGATATTGATGTACCCTGCCGAGGGGGGCTGTGCTGTGCTGCGTCATGCTGAATTGCGGTGTGTCATGCCGCGATTGTGTTCTATAGTGTTGTGGATCGAGTCCTCCTTTGCATCCGAGTCCTGACCGAACTGATCTGGATCTGAAGCTCGAGCTGCCTGAGCACACAGTAGATGCCCCGGCGCTAATTGACAGGGGAACATGCCACGAGGACGCGCCGCGGACAACCCAGGGGACGCGCCAAGTGACGTGCCAGAGGACATGCCACACGCACCACGGGACGTGCCGAAGGGACGCGCTACGGAACGTCCCAATGGACGTGCCACGGGACGTGCCAAAGAACGCGCTGCGCGACGTGCCAGGGGGACTCGCCACGGGACACGGAACGTGCCAAGAAACGTGTCAGGTTGCAACGCTGAGTGTATCGATCTTGATGTACCGTGCCGAGGGCTGCGCTGTGCTGCGTCGTGCTGAACTGCGATGTGCCATGCCGCGCTTGTGATCTGTAGTGTTGTGGATCGAGTCCTCCTTTGCATCCGAGTCCTGACCGAACTGATCTGGATCTGAAGCTCGAGCTGCCTGAGCACATAGTAACTGCCCCAGAGCTAATTGACAGGGGAACATGCCACGAGGACGCGCCGCGGAACGTCCCAAGGGACGCGCCAAGCGACGTGCCAGGGGACGTGCCACGGGGACGCACCGCGAAACGTGCCAATCGCTCGAGACATCCTGCCCAAATCCTCATGCTAGACATCCGCCTGGCCGACCTGCACACGTGCAAACAAGCGTTTCGCTCAACACATCCTACACACATCCTCATGCTAGACCTCCGCCTTGGAGAACTGGACACGAGACATCCTCAACACACATTTATATTCGACATCCGTTCCAAACCCCCAGGAAGGTCACAGGAGGCCCATGTTAGATACCCCCTAGGTGGCCTGCACACGTTAAAGCACCCGGTTCCGCCATGTTAGATACCCTCCTGAGCGGCCTAGACACGTAAAACCACGTGGTTCCAATTCGGGACAGTCATGATAGATACCACCCTGGATGGCCCGGACATGTTAAAACACGTGGGACCAGCTCTGGGCAACCATGTTAGACACAACCCCTGGGTGGCCTGGACGTGTAATAACACGTGGTGCCAGCTCGGGACAACCATGTCAGATACACCCCTGAATAGCCTGGACACGTAAAAACACGTGGTTCAACCTCGGGACCCCCCCTGCGTGGCCTGGCTACGCTGAATTCGCGCTTCCGCCCGAGACATCCTCGCAATGTCTTCCCTGGAGAGGCCCCCAAAGCGCCACCCCTTGTCCAGAGCAAGAAAACATAACTTTTCTGTATTGGGATCTGTGTACGGGTAGCGCTTTTCGGCCCCCCCTACGTTTCCTGATAATTCGGCGTTGGGCCCGACGCCATGTTAGATACACCCCTGGGCGGCCTGGACATGTAAAAACACGTGGCCCCAGTTGGGGACAATCATGTATCATGTTAGATACCCCCTTGGGTGGCCTGGACGCGTAAAAACACAAGGTTCCAGCCCAAGTTAGATACCCCTCTGGGTGGCCTGGACACTTGAAAACACGCCCCTCCTGGGTGGCCTGAACACGTAGAAATACGCGGTTCCAGCACAAGACCACCATGTTAGATACCCCCCTGGGTGGCCTGGACACGTGAAAACACGTGGTCTAGCTCGGGACCACCATGTTAGATACCTTCTGGGTGGCCTTTTTTACGAATTGGCCGGGTCTCCAGACCTCGTCATTTCCCATAGATTCCGCGCAAAACGCGCCGCACCCTCTTTTTTTGCAAAAGGGAAACGGTGGTCTGCGGACCCCGTCATTTATCGCGGATCCGAGATGAGGGGCAACCTTTCCTCGAGCGGGCACGCGAAAAGCGCACTTGTTCAACTGAACATTCACACTTGACCTCGTTACTTATCAAAAAGAAGCATCCGCCGGCCCCCCCCCCCAACATGGCACCGGGGACAGGCCACCACACGAAACGAAAACCCTGGGCCCGAGAGCCCTTTCCGGGAAAACCCGCTCCTCTGCGCTCGGTCCGCAGCCCCCCTCTGGAGCGCCGCCAGCGCTCCCTGGGAGGAGAGGAGGACGGGAGGCAGCTGCGGCCTGCGGGTCGCGATGTTTTTTGCTTGGGCCCCAGCTCCCGGAGCGCACTCGGCGGCGAAGGGGCCGCGCGGCGGAGCTCAGGCGGGGCGCGCGGCCATCCGGGAGCGCGCGCCGCCGGCAGGTGTCGCGGGCTGCGCGAATGCTCGGGCCAGAACGGCCGCGCGGGCGCAGGGCAGCAGGAGGCACCCACGCACCACGACCATGCCTGGCCAGGGCCCGTCGCGGTGTCATCGACCTGACCCTGAGGAACGGTACGTAAGGAACGAAGCCCCTTTTTTTTCCCAGGGAATAACGCACAAGGAGCGAGATGGAAAAAAAAACGCATAAGGAACGAGAAACAACGCATGCAGACCGAAGGAACGACCGAGCCCGCGCACTGTAGTGGGGTACGAAGGGGTTGGTGGGGAGTTGGGGGGAATGGGGTGGTGGACAGGAGAGGGGGGAGCAGGGAGGAGGGAGCAGGGAGGAGCAGGGAGGAGGGGGACGGGGCGAGGAGGAAGGGCGGAAAAGGCAGAAAGGCACGCACGGCGTCAGCGAGATGGTTCATGATCGAGTCGGCTATAAAATTCTGGAGACATCGACTTCGATGTTGCCAGATTCCTTGACGGGAGCCTAGTCTAGGATATGGCCGCCAAGGTTTCTTGGGATTTCTTTCGGAAGCGTCTCGGGCTCTTGTGAGTGTCTGGCGGGCAGGCCGGAGGTCGCGGCTTCCCGGACAAGATCTGGACAAGGTTCTCGAGCAGCATCCACCCGTGGCCACGAGAGCGCCCCTGGAAACCGAACAAATACAATGTGCTCGAAATTATGAGGCGTCGCCGACGGCTCTCACACTGTAAATGTTTCATAATGTTTCACCCGCCGGACAAAAAGCAGGAGGGAACCACAAGCATGGAATGGCGGCGAACCGTCGGCAGGCCCTAAGCAAAGCAACGCGGAAACATGATTGACGCGCGAACCCAGAGAGGAATATAGAAATGTAAAGCATGGCAACGTTTCAACGACATCTGATTTGGCGACGGGCAAACGCAATGCTGAGTGTATCGATGTCCATGTACCGTGCCGAGGGCTGCGCTGTGCTGCGCCGTGCTGAACTGCGATGTGCCATGCCGCGATTGAGCTTTATAGCGTCGTGGATCAAACCCTCTTGTGCATCCGAACCCTGGCCGAACCGATCTGGATCTAATTGACAGAGGGACATGCTAGGAGGACGCGCCGCAGAACATCCCAAGGAACGCGCCAGGCGACATGTCAGGGGACGTGCCATGGGGACGCACCGCGGGACGTGCCAAGGGTACGCGCTGCGGAACGTGCCACGGGACGTGCCACGGGACGTGCCAGGGGACGCGCCGCGCGACGTGCCAAAGGGACTCGCCACGGGACGCGCCACGGAACGTGCCAAAGAACGCGCCAGGTTGCAATGCCGAGTGTATCGATATTGGAAAGAGCGCATTCTGTGGTCGCTGGGGGGGGGGGGTTGGAACTGGACCCCCCCGCCCCCCCCCCACCCCTGGATGGACGGGGCGGGGAGGCTTCAACCCCCATCCCCCCTCCCTCCCCTGCTTCCCCTCTCCACGGGACGGCGTTTGCGTCGGCGGCGGCTGCTGGCGGCGGCGGGGACGACGATTTCCTTTTCTGGGCCGGCGCCGGCGCCTGCGGCAGCGGGCGGCGGTGGCGGGGAGCGTCGACGAGGACGACGGTGGTGGTGGTGGTGGGTTGTGATGGTGGTGGTGGCGGTGGTGGTGGTTGTGGTGGTGGTGTGGTGGTTTGTTGCGGTGGTGGCTGTGGTGGTGGTGTGGTGGTGGTGGTGGTGGTGGTGGTGGTTGGTGGTGGTTTGGTGGTGGTTTGGTGGTGGTTTGTGGTGGTGGTGGTGGTGGTGGTGGGTTGTGGTGGTGGTGTTTTGTGGTTTGGTGGTAGTGTGGTGGTGGTTTGTGGTGGTGGTGGTGGTGATGGTGGGTGTGGGTTGTGGTGGTGGCGGTGGTCTGTGGAGGCGGTGCTGGTGGTGGCGGTGGTGGCGGTGATGGTGGTGGCGTGGTGGTTTGTGGTGGTGGGTTGTGCTGCTGGTAGTGGTGGTGGTTGTGGCGGTGGTTGTGGTGGTGTGGTGGGTTATGGTGGTGGTGGTGGTGGTAGTGGTGGTGTGTTTTTGTGGTGGTGGTGGTGGTAGTGATGGTGAGTTGTGGTGGTGTTGCTTGTGGTGGCTGTGGTGGTGGTGTGGTGGTGGTTTGTGGTGGTGGTGGTGGTGGGTTGTGGTGGTGGCGGTGGTCCGTGGAGCTGGTGCGGGTGGTGGTGGTGGTGGCGGTGGTGGTGTGGTGGCGGCGGTGGGTTGTGCTGCTGGTAGTGGTGGTGGTTGTGGCGGTGGCGGTGGTGGTGTGGTAGGTTGTGGTGGTGGTGGTGGTGGTGGGAGTGGTGGTGGGTTTTTGTGGTGGTGGTGGTTGTGATGGTGAGTTGTGGTGGTGGTGGCGGTGGTGGTGGTCTGTGGTGGTGGACAATGGCGTGGCGCCCGAGTTTCCGGCGCTCGCGGCGAACCGCCACGCGCGACAGAGACTTCGCTGTCCCCCGCGCGGCCGCCCCGTCAAAGGGCTGCGCCGGAGTCAGGCCGGCTGCGTCGTAGAGCGCTGGCCCCGAGAGAAGCAATGGAGCGTCTGGAGGGCCCCAGTTCTCCACGTTGACCTCCACCCAGTCGAGGCCCTCCTGCTTGAGGCGCTGCGGCTGCAGGTTGGAGCGCGCCTTCACCGCGCGTGTCTCATAGGCCCACGCGGCGCCGAAGATCGAGCTCGTCGGGCCGAACACTGTCGCCAGCTCAGCTCGAGAGAGGAACGCGCTCCTCGGCGGCAAGCCTCGCGCCGCCATCGCCCGGGCCCCGAAGGGATCCGAGGCCAGTCCTCGTGGCCAGCGCCCGCGCGACAGAGTTGAGCGCCTGCCAGGGCGGCCGCGGGCCACTCTCCGCCACTTCGAGGGCAGCTGCGCCCCACTGAGGAGGTGCCCCCCCTTGACGCTAGAGGGCGCCAACTGCGACCTCGGCCAATGCGTTCGCGTTCAGGTCGCAGCCCTGCGCCGCGGTCTTGCAAATGCCATGCAACGCGCAAGATGCCCAGCTCCTGGTTTGCGAACTCGGCCCCCTGGTCGCTGCGCGGCCGAAAGACGAGCTCGATCGGAAGATTGGCGTGGCCGTCGTTGAGCTTCGCCAGGAGGCGCTGGCACGCCATCGCCCCGTCGGCTTTCGATCGGAGCGGTGCTGCGCGGAGCAACAGCGCCATCGGGGGGGTCGACCCTGGGCGGCCCTCCTCGCGTGGACCAGGCTCCACGGGTGGATCGCCTGGCTTGGGGGCCCGCGCGAACGCCTCGCGCGAAGCCGACCGTGCGCGCGAGGAAGTGGGCGCAGAGGTCCCCGTTGATCGAGCCTCCGGGTCGTGGTCGGCTCGCGTGGGCCGCTGAAGTTCGCGGCGCAGACGCCCGGCGACTCGTTCGTCCGTCGCTGGCGGTGCCGTGGTCGTTGCGCAGCTCCCAAACTGCATGGCGCTATCCTTCGTGTACTTTTTGTTACGCCGCGGCTTGTCGTCGAGCTCGCCTCTGACTCGGCCCCGAAGCTCCTCGGGCCCCCGCGGTTCACTTTCGGCGGCGGCCAGAGCTGGGCAGGCCGCGGGCTGGAAGGGACTTCGACGAGGCAGAAGACCTCCTCCATATAGATCTCCAGCGCGCAGCGGCTGCAGGACGTCGACCATCATTCCGAGCCCTCTCGGCCATGGCTGTCAACGCAGTTGAAGTCTCGAGGGTCGCCGTCGTCGGAGGGGTCGTCGTCGTCGCCGTCGCCGTCGTCGTCGTCTCAAGTGCGAACGATGAGGGCCTGACTTTCTCCGAAGCCCTCCACTCCCGCGCAGCGAGGTCCGCGTGGTCTGAACGTTGGCGCAGCCAGAAGGCCGCGATGGTGCCCCGCTGCGTCTCGAGCGCCCCGGCGTCGTCAGTCGCAGATGCATCGGCGGGCTCTCGCCTCAAATGTCGGAGTAGCCACAACTCTCTACTATGTAGCGTCGGCCCATAAGGACCTCCAGAAAAACAACAGATGTCGAGGAACACCGAGGTCGATGTCTCTCGCGGCGCTTCTCGCTCAAGACCTCCAGCGAGAGATCCCTGGCGCAGTCTCCACGGGGCGCAGTTCGTCGGGCGAACGGCGTCTCCGCGCCTGCGCGAAGCAGCCCGTCCAAGATCAATAGTTGATCCGCCGCTCGCGCTGTGTTCCACCTGAATCGGTAGTCGAGCGGGGGCGCGCGGCAATTCTTCCTCCCAGCGTGAGCGCTGCGGGCAGAGGGGCCACTGCAGCGCCCCCGCAGCCAGTGCGCCTTCCGTCGCAAATTGGCGCGACCCGCCCGCCCTGCTGGCTGCCCATCGGAAGGTTGCCCCCCGAGAACAACAATTCGAACGGCGTCAGCTGAGCGAACCATCGTGGTGTGATTATGCTGTCCTCGTCGTCGCTGTAGTAGACATCGGGCAAGTCCCACCACTTCTTCTGGATGGCCCGCGCCGTTCCCCCCCTATGTCAGGCGCGAGGTGCTGCGACAATCGCCCCGAGGTCTTCCGTCGGCGTCGCCGCCGCGCGCGCCCGCGCCGCCCTCGGAGATTCCGCGGGGAGTCCGCTGCGTTCGCTGCGTCCGCTGCGAGGCGGGGCGCCCCGCGTGTGGATCTCGATGTCCTTGCCGCGCGGGATCCGCAACCGACGTCGACGCCCGCGCACGACGCTGCAGCCTCGCCCCACCAGGAAGCCCTCTGGGCACATGCCGACGTCGTCGCCGCGGAGCATCGTGGCACACCCTTACACCCGATGTCGCGACTGCACATGCAATCTCCGCGCGCGAGGTCGAGCCTGGACATTCGCCCAGATGTCCAAACCCACGGCGCCCATGGGGAACCTCGCGGACTCGGCCGCGGATGCTGCGCGAAGTCGCAATTGTCGGATGCTGCCTCGCCTGCTCCTTCGTCTTGTCCTTCTCGAGGGCGCACAACGCCTTCGTAAGCGCGCGCGCACTGGGGCAGCGTTGTGCGCGGGCACAAATTTCGCGCCCGCGCCTGGCCCGCGCGCAGGCGGGCGAGCCGCGTGCACGGGCCGCCCCCCGTTATCCTGGGCCGCGCGGAGCGCGCCCCAACGCGTAGGGCTCGCGCGCGCGAATGGGGGGAGTGCGAAGCCGTGCGCGGCGCCGTGCGCAGCCCCGCGAGATAGGCACGCGGCGCGCGCGAGGCGTGG